AAAGTAAAACCTCACGAATTAAGTACTAAAGTTACCTTAGATTCTTGGTTTTAACCTTTAAACTTTTATTAATGCAAATAAGTTTTTGTGCTTTGTGATTTGGGTAATTTAGCCTCTTTTTTTTTATTATAGATTTATCACTCATTTATGTTTTAGTTGTGTATAAACAAGATGAATATATACTTGCCTAGTAGGTAACGTCGCATTAATATTTTATTAACACAAGGGAAGTATAAATAATATTAAGTTCACTTAAAAAATAATTAAATTGTCTAAATTACTAAATTTAAAAACTTATTTATTTTAGTAAAAATTTAAAGACTTAATTAAGGATTTAGGACAAGTTTGGGGCTAAACATAGGTTTTGCCTTTATTTAATGTGTCGTTAAGATAAAATCTTACCATTCTTCGTTAACTATGGTACTGCGGATTTGAATGTTTAAAAAAAATAGTACTGCGGATTTAAAAAACATAATAAAATGAAATTTCGTTTTCTTCTATTTCTATATTTAATTTTCTTTCTCGTATTAGTACTCCTCTTTACCTCCTCCTGCAACAAACCAAACCCGCAGAAACTGTCTCTGGTTTTTCCTTTCTCCTTTTTCTAACGCCTTTTAAGCATTCGTTCATGGCATTTTCTTCCTCTGCGCTTCTTCTTCTTCCTCTTCCTCTGGTACTTTCTTGATGTTTTCTCGTATTATTCTTTTTCTGGTTGAATGTATGCTTCTTTTTTTGGTAGAAGAATGTATGCTTCTTTGAAATCACAAGATCTAAGCATTCGATTCATTATCTTTGATTTTGGATTTTTTGCTTTGTTGATTTTCAGGTGAAGATTGATTATTCCTGAAATTTGAGGTGATCCGGGGAATGTGATGTTTTGATTTCGTATCTCCGGCTTCGAACAGTACTGTTTTCGTTCTGTTTTGGTGTTTTCTCATTTTGATTAAAGAGATAAAGGGGTGGAAACTGTGATTTCTCAGGCGAGAGTATGGGCTATCTGAATTCGGTGTTGTCAGCTTCAAGCCAGGTTCATGTTGATGATCAAGGGCCTGTCAGTGGCGGCGGCCTCAGGTGGATTGTTCATTCTCTTTCGAAACTTTGATGAATCTTTTTGTTAGATCTAGAATTTCGTTTTCAATTAACGATCTTGCTAACTATTCAGCGATTTGCTTTTAGAAATTAATTAATTAATTTAATATCATTTAGTCATGTGGCCGTGGATATGGGAATTTTCTGTAAATCTTGTTTTGCAATCGAATTTAGGAATAGAAACACAAAGAAATATATCTGGAAATTTTACCATCCTTTGAAATGTTTTGGCTTAAGTTATTTTGCACAGATGACTGTTAAATGATCAATACCTGTAGTGACTGCATGTGAAGACTCCCAAATATTATTGGCTGCTTATGCCTAAAACCAAACATGGTGTGTTTTCTGGAACAGCCAAAATGGAAAGTTTTGCTATGGATACGCAAGCTCTCCAGGGAAAAGGTCTTCAATGGAAGATTTTTATGAGACAAGAATTGATGGTGTTGATGGAGAAGTAGTTGGTCTCTTTGGAGTTTTTGACGGTACTCATCTCTTCCATACACCCTAATTCTCGTGCAAGCTATTTTTCATCTTTAACCTCTGCAATTTCTCTGTTTCGTTATTATTTCCATACTAGAATGAGTAGAATTAGATCTTCTATGCTTTCACCTAGCACTTATTGCCTTCTACTTGAGTATAAAAGGGTGCCAGAAAACAAAGTAGAATATAACCAGCTTATATAGATTGTACTAGAGAAAGTGGCTGAAAGGATTTTCTGCAGATTTTTCTACTTGGGTATCTGCTCCAATGTGGTTGGAGTACTTGAAGCAATTTCTCAATGGATATTATTGGCTTGAGATGAGGGGATTTACTATGGTAATTTGTAAAGTTCTATACTGAGGCAGTTTGCTACAGTACACTCTGCCATAGTATTCCCTCATTGTGCATAATTAAACACACATCTCTTGTGATCACTGTAGAAAATGTTCTGATGCTGGTTAGTTTATGAGTTGGTCCATTGTGTCACCATATCTTTACCGGTAAAATGATGGCTGTTTCAGGGCATGGGGGTGTACGAGCTGCTGAGTATGTGAAACAAAACCTTTTCAGTAATCTGATCAGGCATCCAAATTTCATTTCTGACACAAAATCAGCCATAGGTTATTGACTTCTTGACTCTACTTTGCTGTTGCTTCCTTGATGTATTATGACTGTTCATTCATCAGGCTGACTAGCCTTCTGAAATTGTTCCAATGCTCCAGCTGATGCATACAACCGTACAGACTCTGAATTTTTGAAATCAGAAAATGCCCAGAGCAGAGATGCTGGATCAACGGCTTCCACAGCTATTCTTGTTGGTGATCGCTTGCTAGTTGCAAATGTTGGGGATTCCCGAGCTGTTATCTGCAGAGGTGGCAATGGTAAGATGCATGATCTTTCTGTTTGCCGAAAGGAAGCTCATTGGAACCATAATTTAAATATATTTGGAAACTGATAGGCCTTTGAATATGCTCAATCATTTAGAAAGTCATGTTGTTTATTTTAAAGACACTTAGCATACCTGTGATTTTTATTTTTCATCCCTAACTTTGATCATTATGTGTTGCATGTAAAGAAAATGATTTTGTTATGTTATATCAATCCAATACAAATTAAAGGTTATTTCTGTGTCTTGAAATTCTTGTTCAAGGATTATTTGATCGTCTCACTTTATCTCCTGTAGCCGTTGCTGTTTCTCGAGATCACAAGCCAGACCAAAGTGATGAGCGACAACGTATTGAGGATGCTGGAGGATTTGTGATGTGGGCTGGTAAGGAAGTTATATATAGCCATATCAGCCCCTCACTCCACACACCACATTTCAGTCCATGTTGATCCTTTTAATTTTTGTCCAAGTTTTGAATTGATACAACAAAATACTTACTTTTGATGATCCCAATTTGTATGTAGGAACGTGGAGAGTTGGAGGAGTACTTGCGGTTTCTCGTGCATTTGGTGACAGGCTCTTGAAGCAGTATGTTGTTGCTGATCCAGAAATTCAGGTCTGGTTAGGACTTGGCTTGAATAATGCTGAATTGAGACTCCCAATTATGCATCTCTAGCACAAAAACTTATCGTGAACCTTTCCACTTTGCCATTTTTAGAGTTCTTCCCGACTTCCCCACAAGATCCATAAAAATTAATGTTATATTTGATGGACAGTTGTCAAGACAACTTTGCATTTGTATTTTTTCCCCCATTTATATTCTGTTCATCTTTTTCCTGTCATTTTTATCGCTGTAATCAGTATGGAATTTGCAGGAGGAAAAGATTGATAGCTCTCTTGAGTTTCTTATTCTTGCAAGTGATGGATTGTGGGATGTTGTTACAAATGAGGTATGCAATAACTCTTAATTTGACATTTTTTAGTCTTGTTAGCATCTTTGAACCTTGTTGGATTTTCGGAAACTATTTACATATCAATTGAACAAGGCTTATATATATTTGGATCCCTTCTTTTCCTCTTTGGGGGCACTTGTGATGTGCTAACCTCATGTGCTGTCAAATTTACTTTCTCAGGAGGCTGTTGCAATGATAAAACCAATTGAAGATCCAGAAGAGGCTGCAAGGAGTCTCATGCAAGAGGCATACCAGAGAGGTAGTGCTGATAACATTACATGTGTTGTTGTCCGCTTCCTGGCCAATCAAGGGGGTTCCTCTTGCAGTAACCCAGCCAATCATGGGGGTTCCTCTTGCAGTAACCCAGCCAATCATGGGGGTTCCTCTTGCAGTAACCCAGCCAATCATGGGGGTTCCTCTCAAACGAGTCTTACCAATCATTGGGGTTCCTCTCACGGTAACACAACCAATCATGGGGATTCCTCTCACAGCAACCCTGCCAATAATGGGGGCGCCTCTCACACTAATTCGACCAATCAAGGGATTTTTTCTCACAATAGCCTGACTAATCATGGGGGTTATTCTCGCAGTAACCTGGCCAACCTGATCAATCAAGAAGGTTCTTCTCACAGTGACCCAGCCAATCATGGGGGCTCCTCTCACAGTAACCAGACCAATCAAGGGGATTCTCACAGTAACCCGGTCAATCATGGGGGTTTCCTCTCATAAGCACCTTCTAAGTTTGGCTTTCTAGTTGATGAGAGAGAGATGAGGTGAAACTTCAATAGTAATAGCCAGTTGTAGAAAACCCACTATAGCATTGTATATCCAGTTATATTATACTATATATCCAGCTGCTAATCTTTGTTATAAATATAACCAACCTCAGTGTGCACTGTTGAATTTGTGAAGGGTTTGAAGACAATTATGCACTTGTTTCTGCTCTAAATCTATTAATTGCTTTATTACTCTCTTTTTTTTTTTTCTTCCTTTTGAACTTTGGAAAACTTGGAGGAAAAGGGTACAACAATACACAAGTTATTGCATTTAACCTGAGCTCAGGGAATGGAATCCACCGAACCTCTCGAGGCTTGGGGTATGGACCATTATGCATTCTACCAAGATGGCCACTTGAAGTAGTGATAGAAACGAGACAAGTCAGAAACATTTTCAGAAACGAGACAAGTCAGAAACATTTCCAGAAACGAGACATGTCAGAAACGAGACATGTCAATTTCATTTTGGGTATATATACTTGCACCGATGCACGGGCAGACGTGCTTCATTTACTCCTCGGTCCAAACAGACACAGACCATAGTTGAAACTTGAAACGCATTCAAGAATAGAAAATCTTTTACATTCCGCAGAAATCAGGTTTTTCTTCTTTTTTTTTTAACCCAATAGGAGGTCCTTTTCATTGTTTTCAACGCTATTTCATTCAAGGCTCCACCGAACCAATCTCCAATCCCAGGCCTCAGGTTTTCTCCTCAAGAAGCACTTAGTTTTGACCCTTCTATCCTAATCATCAAATTTTAATTTAATATGTAGTCCCTCCAACGTCAGCAACATTAGTAGATATGTATCAATTCCAAAACACCAACCAAAATTCAGATTCGGATTCTGATTCTCCATAATAGCTGTTGACCCATAAAATATTAAAATCTAAATGTGTAAATTGCTCTAAAACTATCACATTAAAGTCAATTATCATCTTAAAATAATATTGATATAATTTATTATTTTAAATTTTTATTTTTAAAAAATTAACCTAAATTTAATGATTATTATTAAACTCTATTATATTATTACTCTTAAAGTTTAATACAAATTATAAATAACTATTAAATTTAGATTAATTTATTAAAAATAAAAATTTAAGAAAACAAATTATGACTTTTTTTAAAGTGATAATTTGCTTCAATATAAAAAATTTAACAAATAATTCGCACTTTTTTTTACTAATATTAAAATCTGTTCATAAGAGGAATATAAAAATACTAACTTTTGAAACTCTGGTATGTGATTCAAAGAGTTATTGTGTGAATTTTCACTTACACCATCAGAATTTGATTCCCTTTGTCCCCAATTCCCTCCACCCTCAATTCCCCTGGTTCAACAAAAAAAAATAAGAAAAAAAGAAAAGAAAAAGAGAGAATACTAGGTTTTAGCTTCGGCAGAAACCTCATTAGTTACTAAACAAACATTTACAAAATGGGATGGTCCGTCCAGATTCCATCATTCTGAGAAAAGCTGTTCCCCGCATTTGAAAAGGCAAGATGAAATAGAAAAGAAAAAGAAAAACAACCTCGTATTTACTTTCCAAATAAATTATTTTAATACTTCAAAAAAATTTCACTCAAATTATAATGTGTCTTTAATTTATTTTACTTTTACCAACTCTCCTACAAAAATCACATTTAACTTAACTAATCTAAATGGAGTTAAATCCAATGATATTTAGAAAAAACTTTTTTAACACTTATATCGAACACTTCGTTAAGGGAACCGACCTCCCTAATCCAACTGATAAACGCGTTTTTATTAACATAATATTATTACATAAAATTAAAACGAGGGAACGACGCCGAAACCGTAGGTGCTGCCGTGGTCGGCTTCGGCTTCGACTTCGACGTCGGTGCGCTTTGCGAACCTTCCTTTGATGCGTGGACGCATCTCGGCATAGGCTTTACGGGAAGCGTAACGAATTGTCTTCTCAAACTTCCGGTTCTTTCTTTTCTCTCTGTACCTCAGCACCCTCGCTTCTCTGTCCACCGACGACAGCTGCATCGTCTTATGCGTAGTCGATTCCGGTCCACGACCGTACGGATTCGATACGTCCATCATGCCGCTGTGGTCTGGTACCACGCCGACGTCCAGAGATGATGAAGATACCTGAATCGCATTCCAATTTACAGGATTAGACTTCTTACTAATCTTGGAAAGCATAGGAAAATTGAATTTCAAATTAGAGATGACTTTATAGCTTACACTGTGGCTGACGCACTGAGCGGCGTAGCCATAGGCAAAGTGTTTGGGACCGGAGAAGTCCAAATCGAAGCAGTGATCGTTCACCATTGGAGGTTGGATGCTCTTGCCCTGAACGGGAACTACTCCGTCAGTACCAGAACTGTTCTGTTCTTGCACTTCTATTTTTGGATCCACCGTACCGTAATCCAGATCCAGATACGGATCCATCTCAGAGAACACATACTGACCGGTATTCACATCCGGACTCTCCACAGCCTTCTGGTTCGGATTCGGCAGCAGCCAGGATGCTGCCTCCGCTTCCTCTCGGCTCACGTCGGCCCCACCGTCAACGTCGTTGAAATGACGGTGATCGAGGAAGTTAACAGCACCGTTAGGCTTCACGGGAACGGGACTCACCGAGTCATAGAAAGGAGTCACCGGCACTCGCTCGTGGCGACGCGCGAGCGGATTCGCCGAGTGGATATCTCGGTCGCAGGTCACGCACAGCGCCGCTGCATCGGCCTTGCAGGTCACGTGAGCAGGCGCCTGCTCGCACACCTCGCACACCCACACCCGCGCGTGCCGCAACGCGAGCTTGTTAGCAGCGTGAACCTCGGAGTCACAGCTGACGCAGAGGAACGCGGAGTCAGCTCTGCAGAAGAGCCTTGCCGTCGCCGATTTGCACGAGTCACATAGCTTGGACGCCATTCTACAAACTCAGTGTAATATCTTCGGTTTCTCTCTCTCTCTCTCTCTCTCTCTCACTCCCTCTGCATATGATTAAAACTGAACTGAAAACACGGCTGCTGTGAACGCAGTAGTGATACAGGCACACAAAATAATACTAACACGTTTCATTTGTATGTACGCGTGTGAAGTGTCTATCTAGTGGGCCAGGGGAGATCTAGGAGATAGCCAATGGGTGTTCTCCACGTGGATCAGTCTTAGCCAAATAGGAAATGATTTTATTTGGGGTTGAAACCTCGGGGAATCGAATGAGTGAGTTGTCAATTTTAGCAGTTGTCTAAAAAATAGTATATTAGTATACATATGAATTTACAAAAAAAGAAAAATTCATGTCTTTTTTTTATTAATAATATAATTATAATAGTATATAAAATTATACATTTATAATTATAATATATTATTAAATAAATTTATATATAATATATCATACGTGCAGGGACGAAGCCAGGGATGCAAGGGCGGCGCTCGCACTCGTAGACTTTTGAAAGAAATTAAATAGGTCCTATACTTAACAAAAAAAAAAAAAAACCAAATAAACCTTTTTGAAAAAAATAAAATAGTTTGTTTTAATTTTTATTTTTTTTTATAAATCATATGATAAATTACTAATAACTTGATAAGTAAAATAAATTTAATGAAATATTTTTATTTATTTGACATATTTGTTATTTCAATATATACATAATCAATAATTATTTGTATTAAATAACAAAATAAAATTGATTTAAAATTAATATTATCAATTTTTTAAAATATTTAGTTTTATTATCTAAATAATATTAAGTAATATTTTGTGATAGAAATTGTGTTTCA